TTTTTGTCCTGCAATCAGGGTGGTGACTTGTCTATTGTGTCTCAACTTCCTTCACTATCTCTGGAACTTCTCCAAAATCTATCTTCCAAATTAGTCTTTGTAATTTACTTCTCTGAGAGTTATTTTGATTTGAGTGGGTTCTGTCTGCTGTTGGGGCTGAGTTTGTGAAGAGAGAATGATGCTTGGGCCACACCAACACCCAGCTTATTATGCAGCCTTCTGTCACAGTGTTCTCAAGCCTTCCAGCTTTCTACCTCAACAACCAACACTTCAGTGTTACCGTGACTTCATGTGCCAAGCAGGGAACACAGACACAGCCAAGTCAAAACAAAACCAGAGATGCCAAATTCACCGCCTCCCCCAAGATTTCTTTTCTTGCTTTTCTTACTCTTATAGTTTTCTCAGCACCCCATTCTTGTTTTGCAAAATGAGATCCAAGATCAAAATTAGAGGTTTTAGATTCGGTTTGCAAGACCAACAGAGTGATTGGGATCAGCGGTGGTGGCTGTAGAATACTGTGAATATAATTAGTGCCACTGAGTTGGTTTTAAAAAATAGTTATGGTGATAATGACACATGAGTCCTACCACAATGGAAAAATACATACATAACAAAACCAGAGTTTTTATCTCCATCTTTTGTCTGAAACTGGCGAGTGATAAAACTGCATTTGTAATGAGTATGTCAAGAAGGCTATTTATTAAGCTTCTGCCTTAGGCAGCCTGGGGCTGGTCCGTGCTCCCTTCTGAGGATGCTCGGGGCCTTTCTTGCCTTCATGTGCAGTAGTACTATTGTAGTATGGCCAGGAGTATGTTAGTAAATAGGTTTTAGACATGTAAAATTTTTATAGAGGTACAATTCACTCTTTTAAAGTATATAATACTGCCCAGCCTTGGAGAGGGGTGATACAGGTTTGTGATTCCAGATACTTGGGAGTCTGCAGTGGGAACACTGTAATGTTTAGATTTGCCTGGGGTACAGGGTGACCTCAAGGCCAACCTGAGAAAATTACTGAGAACCTATCTGAAAAAAAAAAAAGATGGCAAGGGGTATAGCTCAGAGTTAGAGTGCTAGCCTGGTGTATGTTCGGTCCTGGGTTTAATCCTCAGCATCACACAGTAGTAATAACAAATAAATAATAGTGAGATGTAGGGTACATATTACACACAATGTTAAAACATTCTTGTGACCTGACCTCCCCAAACAAACAAACAAACACACACACAAAAAAAAAAACCCAACAATTAGTTGCAGGCATTCTTCTTCCTTTCCATTCAGATATTAGTTCATTTTCTGTCTTTAATGCAGTTTCCTATTCTGAACTTTTGATATAAATGACATCATACAAATGTGACCCTTTGTGGGTGACTATTTTGACTTTGAATGATTTTTTTATGTTGTATATATATCAGTAACTCATCTCTTTTGTGGCAGAGTAATATTTCATTATACAACTATATCACACTTTATTTACCTATTAATTGATGGACACACGAATTGTTTTCATCTAATACTAGTAACTACTAAACAACCAATAATCTGAAAAAAAAAAATCCTGGAGGAGGGGAAATGGCTCCACTTATAAAGCACTTAACACCCAAGCCTGGTGAACTCAGTCTGGATCCCCAGGTGCCATGAAAAAGCTGGTTGCAATAGCATAAGGTTCTATAATCCCAGTGGCCAATGGGGACGGGAGGTAGAGGCAGGACTCTCCAGAAGCTTGTTGCCCAACTAGCTCGATGTTCACAGCAGCAAAGAGAGCCTATCTCAAACAAGGAGAGGCAAGACCCCTGCACCCAAAGGTTGTCCTCTGACCTCCCCATGTGCCGTGGCACCCACACCCACATATCTCACACAGCCAAGCACGTACAGGCATTCATGCACTCTCTCACACACACATTCACACATGCACATACACACATGGGGGGGGCAGAGACCAACTGACTCACACACATGGCACACACATGGCACACACGTGGCACACACATGACTGACTGCATGATGAAGTTGGACATTCATTGGAGACACGGCTAAAATGGGCTCTTGTGAGCCCCTACCACCCAGTTACAGGAAGCATTAACCATCCCTCCTGATAGGTCACTGACATGAGCAGAGACGTGACTGTATACAGCAAGGCTTCCACACACCAGTGAGAAGGCTGATCCAAATAAAAGCATTAGCATAGCTAGCGAGTATTAAGACTTTCTGTGATCTAGACACTGTGCACGACATTTTTTTTTTCTTTAATTCTTCATCACTGCCACTTACTTTCTTGGCAGCTGCCAACTCCTAACTACCAGTATCCTGCTTCTGGCTCTCTGCCTGTAGCTGGTCTCCATGCTGTTTCACAAATACTCCAACATGTTCCTTCTCACGATGCTGGAGTGTGCTTCTCCCGCCTGGCTCGGTAGGTATGCTGTTATTCAAGCTGTACTGCATCTCATTCTCATCAGGTTTCCGCTGAGCTGTCCCCTCCTCAGAAAGGTTGCCTTGCCACCTCTCCCCGTTATCCAATCCTTTTCAAAACTTCAGTCTTCATGTCACCTATCATAGACATGATGTTTCTCTGTGTGTTTGGCTTTCCTTCACCCCGCAAGCATCAAACACATAGTCTGCGAATATGCTTGCCTTTACTAGCTTTTAGCTTCCTTTTTATTTATTCTTCAGAGACTTATTTATTTTTGTTTTTTGTGTATGAGTGTTTTGTTAGTGTGTATGTTCTGTGTACCATGTGTGTGCCTGGAGCCTGTGGAGGCCACAAGAAGGCATTAGATTCCCAGAAACTGCAGTTAAGGATGGTAGTGAGCTGCCAAGTGGGTGCTGGGAACCACCCTGCAAGAATAACAATGCTCTTGACTGCTATGCCTTCTCTCCAGCTCCTTTTATTATTATTATTATTATTATTATTATTATTATTATTATTATATTTAGACAAAGCATCTCATGTAGCGCAGGCTGGTCTTGAACTTTTGATCCCAATACTTCCAATTCCCAAGTGCTGGAACTAAAATCCTGGGACTCCATCCCTGCTTTACATGGTGTTTAGCTTTGTGCATGCTAGTGAAGCATTCAGCCAACAGAGCTATAGCCTCAGCGCTGGATTACAACATCAAAAGAGTGAGCTGAAAGCTATGTGACTCACACATCGATAAAGTTGCTATGAAACAACAGCCATCTTCTTCATCCTGCTGGTCACAGTACAGCAGTGTTCTCAAGGAGGCAAGAAAAAGCACCAGGGGCTTTCTTAAATTCATACTGGTGTTCTGGTCTCAAGGCTATGTTCATTAAGCAGGGGCATTTGGAATTAAAAGTTTTGAATGACATTTATTTATTTATGGGGGGGCACTGAGGTCAGAGGACAATTTGAGGGAGTAACTTCTCTTTCTACCACATGCAACCCTGGATAGAGCTTGGGTTGTCAAGCTTGGTAGAAAGTGTCTGTATACAGGACTAGGAACTCTTGAGCAAGTGTTCTCTATTCCTGGTGTTGTCAGAGGAATATTTGGAGGACATTCTTCCTCACCACCTACCTTCTTTTTCTGCTCTAAATTCTGGCACAGATGTGACTCACCTGGCACAGGTGGCAGGCAGTCCGGTGACCTGTTTGAGAGTGTGCCTCTCTCTAGAGCCAAGCTAATGAGTATTCATGCTTGGTTGTGAGCCCTGGATTAAGTCACTCAGTTTTTCAGCATTTTCTATCTTTAAAGTAGGATAATAAACCTCTGTACCGTAGGCCTGTTGAGAGAATTTAATTCCTATGTTAATTTAAGGTTTAGTATACCTTTGGCTACTTAGCTCTGATGTTCACCTGGATGTTAACCTAGGGCTGCCACCTGGATTCTCCGAGAATCCCCGCTTGCCTCCCTTGCTACTCCCGTCTGTCACTCTCACCTGCAGCATTCTGGAAGAGCCTTCTGTCCTGTATTTGGTTCGGGTTCTGCATTTGCTTTGCTACCCCAGGAGCGGAGGTACCCCTCCTTCAAGAAAGCATCATCTCTCTAATCGTCTCTGTCTAGCTTAACTACTAGGTTTGAAAGAGGCCAAAGGGACCAGGCAGGGCAGGGACGAGAGGACCAGTCACAGTGCAGACATTTTGGTGCATAAGCCCCAAGACTTAACTTTTGAGAGAGAAGGAAGAGAAGGTGAGGAGTCTTTAGTGAGAGGAAAAGAACCGATGGATAAAATGTGCAGCAGAAAAGGAGCCTCGCGCCCTCGGGTTCAGGAGTCCCTGCTCCAAGGGGTCTCCCTAAATCAGGGTGACCGAGTTTTACCCCCTCCTTCAAAGTACAGTTCCCCTCCATCACCGAGAGAAGAGAGGGGATGAGTATCCCCGAGTTTCGTTAAATTCATGAATTTCTAACTCAGGGAAGGAACTTCAAGGAAACTAGCGTGATTAATATTTACTGTACGCCCACATAGTGCTGGGCAGTCCGAGGAACTGAGCAAACTAAAAGTACAGTCTCATCCCAGGAAAACAAAACCCGGTTGACTCTGGGGACCCTCATTTCTTCGGAGTGCACTTTGGGTTCTGATCCTCATAAACCATCAATATTTCTCAGGACTTGGACTTCCACTGGGCTCCCCAGGGGCCTTCTGGAAAGCTGAAAAATTAGGGGGAGGAGTGGGGCGGGCTGGGGAGGTGAG